CGTGCACTGATTTGTGAGTAGGCATGAAAGGAACATATTAAAGATATCTGATTTTGAGTGAGGTAGCGTAACATTAGTTTTGGAAGCTATGGATTGCATCAGCTTTTGTCTGCATGGATACATTGAATTATTCGTTGTGTGGAGCAGCCATGATTAAACTTCTGGACTGGTGAAGCAACTGCAATAAGCTGTAGGAGTGAACATATTTTTCAACTGCTACTTTTAAAAATGTTTTCTAGCAACTAAGAAATCATATTCTCTTTAAACAGTTTCGAAAATTTATAGGGAAAAACATACAGTCAAAGAACCTATTATTAAGCTGTTACTTTGTCAATGTGATTTGGTTTAGTGTAAATAACAGTCGCCGTATTCCTTCGAAGCTGAAATGTTACAAGGAATAGTTTTAATACTAACACGATTCCCTTGTTTAAAATATTCTGAATCATTTCTAGCCGATCAGATTTTGACAAAAACACCACAAATAAATCTCAACGACCAAAAAGACACAAAGATATTTGCATCGAACGTCAGCGTTATGTTTTAGTCCTAGAAATATTATATTGAGTGTAGTTAATAGCATGTCGCTGGCTTGGCTCAAGGATCTAAAGCAAGGCATCATTGCGCCTCAGGTCCTACCTAATGAAATAAAGAGTAAAAAGGACCCCGTGGTTTTCAGAAAATCAACTCACAACTGTAGCTCGGAATACAAAACGCCCTGCGGGGGCTGCAACAAAGAATTAGATTATTCTCTCTTTTTGCTTTAGTGGAATTATCATTCACATTTATATATCATATGTTTCCAACATCATATGCTCCCAAATGTTACCTGTACCGATTGTTATCCGCCTATGATTTAGTTATCTCAACCAAGATTTTGTTACCATCGGGATGAAACCCAATGATTCACGTCTCTTCAAATCGTCTGAAAAACCTGCCATATGTTACACGTTTCTCTATAGTATGTTTCTTGTCATTGACAAAGCACATAAAAGAAAATTCAAGACTGCGACGACGACGCACTCAAGTTAATACACTTACATAAGAGCCGCCATCAAACATAAGATGATTAACTAAGACATGATACTACATGAAAGTTACACACAAATAAACACAAGAAAACAATACAAATCAGACAGTATTGGGGACAAATTTAAATGTAACTAGCCTAAATGCGCTATCCCACCTCCCCTCCCTCTTGACATGTCAAAAAGAACTCAAGTGCAATATGGTAAAGCTCGAAACGGTTACTTTAAAAAAAAATTAAAAAGTCATATGTTTTTGGTAGGGTTACCGGTGCAAACACGCCTAAAATGATCCGTTTGACCGTCAGTTACACAATTAGCCCATGTGGTATATACGTATTGCTTAAATACAGCATCATGAAGCAATAAGTCCTGCTCTTACCTGTTGAATAGCAGAGTTTGTGGGATAAAATTGGCCCGGAGATGAGCTGCTGAAGCCGGCTGCACGCAACAACGTTAACACACCACAAGCGCTACAACAGGGCGGTAATTATGAGGAAGGACGGCGATCCTCTACCTCTCTATATCACCATGGCAACAACGGTCTGTTTTGGTGCTGCCTAAGGTGACAATGACATCATACACTTCATTTGCATGTGCATCAAAGATAGATGTGGAGATTCAGTTAACAAGCTGTTCAACCCCCTCGCAGATAGCGATTGGTTGCAGTGTATTGTTCTTCTTTTAAAGAAGGATAGAATGGATCATTGCTCAAAATTTTTGCTCAAAATTAATCAATAATTTATCAAATCTTAAATTTTAATTTACCCCAATTTGGAATCGTTATAAGACATATGGATGTCGTTGTTGGTGGAAGTAACATTCGCGTTGTAAGAAATTTCTTAATTTTATTTTTATCTATTTCTATGTTGTTATGTTTTGTGTGGTACACTATTTTAATGTGTTTGTGTAGGTAAGATGTACTCTCCAAGCTACACATTAAATTAATCATGAATCTTAATGATAATTGGTAGGCGTGCAGTGGTTATAAAACAAATTTGAAGGTCAAAATGGTTATCCTATGATGTCCCTACGTTGCTGCAGAGAGTTGTGTATTTTTGAGTTTTTGTTTGTGGAGAACATAACTTGAGAAAACGCGGAAGGTTTTTAAAGGTATTTATAGGTACATGACAGGTAAAGGTAGAGTTTAACAATGGGCCTTCTAGCGGCTTTTAAGGTATTGTAGCGTAACATTATGGCTAGGGCAGGACTGACTTAGTGGGTTCCATGTGCGCCCTTATATATTATACATTTGTACATGCTTTTGTTAAAGTTACTTACCTACATGTAGTGATTTCTTTGAAATGTTAGAAGGCTTTCTTTCCTAAGATAAGACTGCGTACAGAATATGTATAATATACTATTAAATACAGTCGTCAGTGTTAATATTATTTAGGGGATGACATGAAATCGTTGAACTCTAGCTAATATTGAAAGGCTGTGTGTAATTGCTTACACCCCCTTTCACCTTAAACAGGGGATCTGTCAGTTTAATTGCCGATGGCAGTCTGGTATATGTTTGTCCATATGGTAAATTTATGAAAATAAAGATATAATTCAAGCATTTTAAGCCACAATTATTGTATTTAATTGTATTGGATAACATTAAATTAATCCAAACTGTGTAACCACGTACACTGATTCACAACAAAATATTGCAATCATCATTATCGCCGTCGCTACCATGTTTCAAAGATGCCAACCACAACAAATTTTATTCTCTTCGGGTCAGCACTTGCCTGCAACCTCCCCAAACCATTTCCTTTAGATCCCAAAAGCCTCATCTCCTTCTGTGACAATATACAATACACTGTTTTACAAGGCAAATACAGCATGCTTTCTCAGCCAGGTTGGTACTTTAGTATTAAAAATGACACTCTTAAGTTACCACTAAAAGAAATAAGACTGACAAAAAAAATATTTGCACTGTTTTTGATGGATAACATTCCATGTTACCGTTTGATTATGCTCTGTGTGATGTTTCTTTGTTTTCCTATTCTTTCCCTTTGAAGCTTTTACTGCTAATTTCACAAATGTAGTTTTTGAAGATACAGAAAAATACTCCGTATGTTCCCAAATATTTTTGTTTTGACAATATTAAAATACTTTTTCGACAATCTATTTACGTATACACAACGAATTTTTACGTTACGTTATCTGCGTACATGTATTCTGTGGATGCCGTGATCTGATTTCTAGACACTCTATTCATGAATTTCACACTCCCTATAATGCCTAGTAAAGATCACGGATATTGATGGGATATGACGTAAGAACTGCGACCTTGCGAGTAGGAGAGTCTTCGGTAGAAGGTAGAACGATAGAAGGTACGTCATTTTCTCTAATCCAACAAAAATGCTATCACGGCATACTAGAAAAAAAAAAACACTGATAGTTGACCAGTTTATCAATAGAACTTTTTAGAAATATTACATCGAGGAAGGCGGATGGGGGGATCTTACGTCATATCCGTGATCTTTACTAGGTATTATGGCAAGTGTGAAATTCATGAATTGAGTCGTGCCTGGAAGTCTTTTGGAGAGGCCTACTTAGTTCCCTTTCTCGGAATCCACGTAGGGGTACGTCACATCCACATAGAGCGCGAGCATGGTGGTGAGAAAAGATCCCACCGCGTACAGCATCAATATCCAGAAGACACCCGGAGCCTTCTGAAAGAGCAGAAAACAACGAGATAGCATTTTGCAAAACAACAACAACAACAACAACAAAACTACGTTTCCCCCCGTCTTTGGCGATACGTCCCTCAATACAGTTTGACAGAAAAACACACACACAAAAAGAAAACAGTCGGGAACAATGTCAAATGCAAAATAAAACATGTCATGTAGATGTATAGTTATTTAAAAGAGAGAATGTATAATAACATAAAAGAGGGGCTGCTTGTTGAAGTGAACTGTAAACTCATACACAACACGAGCCCACCATCTTTTTCTCTGTAGTTCTCTTAGAAAAGAAGAAAGAAATTAACACCTCTCGGTGAAAAATGTCCAGATGTTGACACATTGGCGCAACAAATCCATAGTGTGTTTTTAGCATACAGTCAGACATTCATTAGCTTTAGAGACTCGGTTGGCGTTACTCGAACGTACAGGTGGGGAAGTCTTGTAGAGTGCTTTCCCAAGGGTACAACTTCGGTGAGTATCGAGCCCGGGACCTATTGGTTCCAAATCCAACGCTCTAACCGTTACGCCACAACGTACCACGTTTTTGTGTTGATTTAGATTAGCCATCGTGTACAGGTTTAATTTGTATTCAGACTCAATCTTAGTAAGCGATGAGAATAGCTGATGCTCCGAAACGTGTTTTAAAGAGAAATTATACGGCTTTTGTATTGCGAAATGGTAAGTCACTAAAAAAATTTCTAACAGCGCACTGTCATCATCATCATCATCTTCATTCATCCTCCATAATAGAGGTGGAGCATACAAAGTTAGCTCGCCAATACTGTTTGTCATACATCACAGAGATGAGTTCATGTCCCTCCAAGCCAGTTTCAGTTTCAATTAGTTTCTTAAGCGTAATGTTTGGGCGTCCAACTCTTCCCGTACCGGTATCAGGATTCCAGAGTAGAAGCCTACTGGCTGGTTCTTTACTACGTACTACATGACCGGCCAAGCTTAGTCGTCAACATTTGACTACTGAAGTTACATTTGGTAACGAACCGTATAACTGATCATTAGTAGTATGTTTCCACCAGCGCACTATAGACATGAAGTATACATTTAGTATTGACTAAACAGTAAAAGTACATCTAAAGTACATGTAATACTGACTTCATACAGCATACATTTTGCTCGTCTAAAACGGCTAGTGAAAACGTGTAAATAGTACTTACCGGGTCGTACTCCGTTTGGTAGAGCACGAAGAAAGAAAGGCAGGTGAACACTGTCCATTTGATAGTGTGATACCACCGTACGTATGGTATGACGATCACTGGAGGGCGCATTATTGCTGGTGCCGGCTCGGTGTTGGAAGCGGCGATAGTGGCTGTGGCCTTCTCCACGTCATCTGCCATTGTTGCCTTCTCCACGTCATCTGCCATTGTTGCCTTCTCCACGTCATCTGCCATTGTTGACAAGTGATGAGCTAGAAGAGAAACAGGTTGTAATAAGAAATGCAGAAATCTACTCGGAAGCAAATGCAGCAAATGGCTTCACCACATCGCCCGTACCAACAACCGACCTGCCCGTTCTCAATACACATGCTGCAAACTAAAGAAATGGCAGTCCTACTAAAATAAATTCTCTTTGTAATGTATAAGCGCTTTATATCGACGAACAATGGTTGTAAAGTACGTGTTTTCGCACATTTTGTGCCACCGGATCAGTTGTAATTGGCTACTCTACAAGTGAAAGAACCGGGTCCGTGGGCCTTGATAAATTATTCATAAATCGGTGGCTGCTAGAGATTTACTGGATGGCATTCAGTGACGAGCCCCCCCTCCCCACAGACAGTAAAAAAAAATCAATCAATCAATCAATCAATCAATCTATCAATCAATCAATTAATCAACTATATTGCTCAACAATTGTAGCTGGTACAATGTATTGCAAAGAAACAACAATGGTACATACACAAACTAATACTAAAATATAATTCTAACGAGCTTGTCCATAATGATACTAAACCTAATCCATTGCGTTCTCTTAGGAAGAGTAACTATTATTACATTCCGTAACCACGGTGGTAAAATCTGGGTTGCAAAGTTCCCACATGCCATAAAACCCGAACTGTGTTCGATCGTGTTCGATCTGGGCAATTCGAATCGAACCCGGGTTCTATTTCGGGGTCACCTGCGGTCATTTACAATAAAGTGGCAAAACAAGCCTTTCTGCCTCCGTGCCGTGCAACAGATAAAAAACAACACTTTTCTATAGATAAAAACAGTTTCCTGGACAGTACATGTCCGCTATCATTTTTTTGTGGACATGTCACATGTAGCGAAGCTACTGTCGTATCCTTGGGTGACCTTGAATACTGTAATGATTCTTTACGCCAGTATGAATAACACAATGCAGACTTTTGGTCGACATGACATGTCTGGAAAACTCGTTTTAACCTGCAAGCATGGAAAGTCAAGCATACCCCATTCACGGCTCAAAATGACCGTTACGGTTGTCCCGAAAATCGTGTTTTAGGGATTTTTTAAAAAATGGCCTCAATTTTGAATTATGGGTAATTTAGTGCGAAAAATGTAGAAAGAAGAAATCATTTTTTCACCAATATGTCGACAAAAACTAGACTTAAAATCAGAAATTAAAAAATCCCTAAAACACGATTTTTGATCTTATTCCTAGTCGTCGAAAAATATAAAAATCGGGAATCTGGGGTAATATACGTAGCCAGGTTAAAACGATGTTTGCCTAAAAACGTGACATGACTTGTGGTCGGAAATCCGAAAAAAAACGTCTTTCAGAGCGAAATTTTGAAAAATCAATGATTTAACATAAACAGCTAATATTGAAAGGATGTTAAGGCAATAATTTCATTTTCATTTGACGAAATTTACCATTAAATCATTTTTGTTTATTTTCAAGTGTTTTACTGGTAGGCCAAACTCGGCCCAAATAGCGTCTTGTAACCCGATACCTTTTAGAACGCGCCTAGCAATGGGAAAGAATACCGTAGTGACAGACCGCCGTGAACAGTAATTCAGCGGATGTATCAGCTATTTAGAATACGGTGCCTCTTTTGTAGTGATTCAAATATGAATTTTCCAACCTACACTGATATCTGAGTATGGCATGAAAGGAAAATATTAAAGATATCTGATTTTGAGTGAGGTAGCGTAACATTAGTTTTGGAAGCTATGGATTGCATCACCTTTTGTCTGCATGAATACAATGAATTACTCGTTGTGTGGAGCAGCCATAATTAAACATCTGGACTGGTGAAGCAACTGCAATAAGCTGTAGGAGTGAACATATTATCTAAACGCGACTTTTCAAAAGGTTTTCTGCCAACTAAAAAATCTTATTCTCTCGAAGCATTTTCGGAATTTTATTGGGGAAAACATACAGCCAATGAATTTAAGCTGTTACTAAGTCAATGTGGTTTGGTTTAGTGTTAACAACTGCCGTCGTATTCCTTCGAAGCTGAAATGTTACAAGTAATAGTTATAATATACTAACACGATTCCCTTGTTTAGAATATTCTGAATCATTTCTAGTCGATCAGATTTTGACAAAAAAAACAAAAAAATATCAACGGCCAAAAAGACACAAAGTTATTTGCATCGCAAGTCAGCGTTATGTTTTAGTCCTAGAAATATTATATTGAGTGTAGTTAATAGCATGTCGCTGGCTTGGCTCAACGATCTAAAGCAAGGCATCATTGCGCCTCAGGTCCTACCTAATGAAATAAAGAGTAAAAAGGACCCTGTGGTTTTCAGAAAATCAACTGTAGCTCGGAATACAAAATGCCCTGCGGGGACCGCAACAAAGAATTAGGTCTTCTCTTTTTGCTATAGTGGGATTATCATTCACATGTTTATATATCATATCTTCTCAACATCATATGCTCCCAAATGTTACCTGTACCAATAGTTATCCGCCTGTGATTTAGTTAACCAAGATTTTGTAACCATCGGGATGAAACCCAATGATTCACGTCTCTTCAAATCTTCTGAAAAACTTGCCATATGTTACACGTTTCTCTATGTTTCTTGTCATTGCCAAAGCACATAATAAGAAAAATACAAGACTGTGATGACGACGCACTCAAGTTAATACACTTATATAAGTGCCGCCATCTAACAGAAAATAATTAACAAATACATAATACGACATGGAAGTTACGCACAAATATAAACAAGCAAACAATAGAAATCAGACAATATAATGCGCTGTCCCATCCCCCTTTCCCGTGATATGTCAAGAAGAACTCAAGTGAAATATGGTAAAGGTCGAAACGGTTAATTAAAATTTACATTTTTTTGGTAGTGTTATTGGTGAAAACACGCCTAAAAGTATGCATTTGACCGTCAGTTACATACAAGCTTTACCCATGCAATATATACAAAATGCTTAAATACAGCATTCTAAAGCAAAAGTCCTGCGCTTACCTGTTGAATAGCAGAGTTTGTGGGATGAAATTGGCTCGGTGAGCTGTTGAAGCCGACTGCTCGCAACAACACACCATGAGCGCTATAAAAATTCAATTAAGACTCGATTATGAAGGAGGACGCCAACACTCTGCCTCTCTATATCACCATGGCAACTGCGGTCTCTTTTGGTGCTGCCCAGGTGACAATGACATCATACAATTCATTTACATGTACATCAAAGAGATCCAGTTAACATGTGGAGATTCAGTTAACATGCAGTTCAACCCCGGTGCCGATAGCGATGGTTGGTCAGCATTACAGTGTATCGTTTCTCTTAAAGCAGGATAGGATGGATTATTGCTAAAAATTTGGCTCAAAATTAATCAATAATTTATCAAATCTTGAATTTTAATTTACCCCAATTTGGAATCGTTATAAGGCAAACGGATGTCGTTGTTGGTGGAAGTAACATTCGCGTTGTTAGATATTTCTTAACTTTATTTTTATCTATTTCTATGTTGTTATGTTTAGTGCGGTACACTATTTTAATGTGTTTGTGTAGGTGAGAGGTACTCGCCAAGCTACACATCAAATTAATCATGGATCTTAATGATATTTGGTAGGCGTGCAGCGGTTATAAAACATATTTGAAGGTCAAAATGGTTATTTTATGACGTCCCTACGTTGATGCTGCAGAGAGTTGTGCATTTTTGAGGTTTTGTTTGTGGACAACATAACTTGAGAAAACGCGGAAGGTTTTTAAAGGTATTTATAGGTACATGACAGGTAAAGGTAGAGTTCGACAATGGGATCCCTAAAGGCCTTTAAGGTATTGCAGCGTAACATTATGGCTAGGGCAGGACTAACTTAGTGGGTTTCATGTGCGCCCTTATATATTACACATTTGTACATGCTTTTGTTAAAGCTACTTACCTACATGTAGTAAGTTCCTTGAAATGTTAGGAGGCTTTCTTTCCTAAGGTAAGACTGGGTACAGATAATATTATTTGGCGATGACATAAGATCTTGTAACTGTAGCTAATATTGAAAGGCTGTGTGTAATGGACCTATACCATTATTACGTCACAGTTTGTTTACCTGTTCTAAAGAACATTCTAGTACGGTCAGTTTAAGAATAAAGATCATTTCAAAGTGGGGTATGTCTGATTTTTTTTGCTGCGTCTAGTTGTGTTGACACAGCATTACATGCCGCATGAGTGATTTATAAGGTGACATTAGACGAAAGTAGTACTGTAGCCTTATATTAGGCTAACGCTACACAAACACACACCGCGCTACGCACCCCTGTACAATATAAACGTCGATTGACCGACATTCATTGTGGTAAACAAACTGTGACGTAATAAAGGTATAAGTCCATTGCTTACATCCCCCTTTCACCTTAGACAGGGAATCTGTCAGTTTAATTGCCGATGGCTGTCTGGTATATGTCTGCCAATATGGAAAATAAAAATAAAAAAACAATCAAAGCATTATGAGGCCACATGTATTTTATTTAATTGTATTGAATAACATTAAATTAATCCACAATGTGTAACCACGTACACTGATTCACAACAAAATATTGCAATCATCATTATCGATGTCGCTACCATGTTTCAAAGATGCCGACCACAAAAAAACTGTTTTCTATTCTCTTCGGGTCAGCACTTGCCTGCAACCTTCCCTAAACTCTGTCCTCTACATCCTCAAAGCCTCATCTCCTTCTGTGACAATATACAATACACTGTTTTACAAGCAAATACAGCATGCTTTCTCAGCCAGGTTGGTACTTTAGTATTAAAAATGGCACTCTTTTTGATAGTTACCACTAAAAGAAATAAGACTGACAAAAATACTTGATTTCTTCTGCTCTGTGTGATGTTTGTTTTCTTATTCTTTCTCTTTAAAGCTTTTCCTGCTAATTTCACAAATATAATTTTTGAAGATAGAGAAAAATACTCCGTATGTTCTCAAATATTTTTGTTTTGACAATATTAAAATACTTTTTCGACAATGTATTTACGTATACAGAACGGATTTTTACGTTACGTTATCTGCGTACATGTATTCTGTGGATGCCGTGATCTGATTTCTTGACACTCTATTCATGAATTTCACACTCCCTATATAACGCCCAGTAAAGATCACGGATATGGATGGGACATGACGTAAGAACTGCATATACCTAATGCGACCTTGCGAGTAGGAGAGTCTTTGGTAGAAGGTAGAAGGTACGTCATTTTCTCTAATCCAACAAAAATGATATCACGGCATACTAGAAAAAAATCAATAGAACTTTTTGGAAATATTACATCGAGGAAGGCGGATGGGGGGATCTTACGTCATATCCGTGATCTTTACCAGGTATTATGGGAAGTGTGAAATTCATGAATTGAGTCGTGCCTGGAAGTCTTTGTCTTTTGGAGAGGCCTACTTAGTTCCCTTTCTCGGAATCTGCGTAGGGGTACGTCACATCCACATAGAGCGCGAGCATGGTGGTGAGAAAAGATCCCACCGCGTACAGCATCAATATCCAGAAGACACCCGGAGCCTTCTGAAAAAGCAGAAAACAACGAGATAGCATTTTGCAAAACAACAACAACAACAACAACAAAACTAAGTTTCCCCCCGTCTTTGGCGATACGTCCCTTAAAACAGTTTGACAGAAAAACACACACACACAAAAAAAAGAAAACAGTCGGGAACAATGTCAAATGCAAAATAAAACATGCCATGTAGATGTATAGTTATTTAAAAGAGAGAATGTCTAATAACATAGGAGAGGGGCTGCTTGTTGAAGTGAACTGTAAACTCATACACAACACGAGCCCACCATCTTTTTCTCTTTAGTTCTCTTAGAAAAGAAGAAAGAAAGTAACACCTCTCGGTGGCAAATGTGCAGATGTTGACACATTGGCGTACCAAATCTGTAGTGTGTTTTTAGTATACAGCCAGACGTTCATTAGCCTTAGCCCTCGAGCTCGGTGGGCGTCACTCCACCGTACAGGTGGGGACGTCTTGTAGAGTGCTTTCCCAAGGACACAATTTCAGGCCACGGTGAGTATCGAGCCCGGGACCTATTGGTTCCAAGTCCAACGCTCTAACCGTTACGCCACAACGTACCACGTTTTTGTGTTGATTTAGATTAGCCATCATGTACAGGTTTAATTTGTAATCAGACTCAATCTTAGTAAGCGATGAAAATAGCTGATGCTATCCGAAACGTGTTTTTAAAGAGAAATTATACGGCTTCTTTACACAATTTGTATTGCGAAATGGTAAGTCACTAAAAAAATTTCTAACAGCGCACTATCATCATCATCATCTTCATTCATCCTCCATAATAGAGGTGGAGCATTCAAAGTTAGCTCGCCAATACTCAGTAGTTTGTCATACATTACAGAGATGAGTTCATGTCCCTCCAATCCAGTTTCAGTTTCAATTAGTTTCTTAAGCGTAATGTTTGGCGTCCAACTCTTCTCGTACCGGTATCAGGAATCCAGAGTAGAAGCCTACTGGCTGGTTCTTTACTACGTACTACATGACCGGCCAAGCTTAGTCGTCGACATTTGACTACTGAAGTTACATTTGGTAACGAACCGTATAACTGATCATTAGTAGTATGTTTCCACCAGCGCACTATAGACATGAAGTATACATTTAGTATTGACTAAACAGTAAAAGTACATCTAAAGTAATACTGACTTCATACAGCATCTATTTTGTTCGTCTAAAACGGCTAGTGAAAACGTGTAAATGGTACTTACCGGGTCGTACTCCGTTTGGTAGAGCACGAAGAAAGAAAGGCAGGTGAACACGGTCCATTTGATAGTGTGATACCACCGTACGTATGGTATGACGATCACTGGAGGGCGCATTATTGGTGGTGCCGGCTCGGTGTTGGAAGCGGCGATAGTGGCTGTGGCCTTCTCCACATCATCTGCCATTGTTGACAAGTGATGAGCTAGAAGAGAAACAGGTTGTAACAAGAAATGCAGAAATTTGTTTGGAAGCAAATGCAGCAAATGGCTTCACCACATCGCCCGTACCAACAACCGACTTGCCCGTTCTCAATACACATGCTGCAAACTAAAGAAATGGCAGTCCTACTAAAATAAATTCCCTTTGTAATGTATAAGCGCTTTATATCGACGAACAATGGTTGTGAAGTACGTGTTTTCGCACATCTTGTGCCACCGGATCAGTTGTAATTGGCTACTCTACAAGTGAAAGAACCGGGTCCGTGGGCCTTGATAAATTATTCATAAATCGGTGGCTGCTAGAAATTTACTGGATGGCATTCAGTGACGAGCCCCCCCCCCTCCCCACAGACAGTAAAAAATCAATCAATCAATCAATCAATCTATCAATCTATCAATCAATCAATTCATCAACTATATTGCTCAACAACTGTAGCTGGTACATTGTATTGCAAAGAAAAAACAACGGTACATACACAAACTAATACTCAAATATAATTCTAACGAGCTAGTCCATAATGATACTAAACCTAATCTATTGCGTTTTCTTAGGAAGAACATTATTACATTCAGTAACAGTAATTTAGCGGATATATCAGCTATTTACAATATGGTGTCTCTTTTGTAGTGATTCAAATATGAATTTTCCAACCTACACTGATATCTGAGTAGGGCATGAAAGGAGCATATTAAAGATATCTGATTTTGAGTGAGGTAGCGTAACATTAGTTTTGGAAGCTATGGATTGCATCAACTTTTGTCTGCATGAATACAATGAATTACTCGTTGTGTGGAGCAGCCATAATTACAACATCTATAAAGACTGGTGAAGCAACTGCAATAAGCTGTAGGAGTGAACATATTTTCTAACCGCGACTTTTTAAGTTTTCTGACAACTATAAAAATCTTATTCTCTCGAAGCAGTTTCGGAAATTTATTGGGGAAAACATACAGCCAATGAACCTAAACTGTTACTAAGTTAATGTGGTTTGGTGTAAACAATTGCCGCCGTATTCCTTCGAAGCTGAAATGTTACACAGAATAATAATAA